ATAAACATTCAGAAAATTAAAACTGGTTCTATGAACATGTATGAAAACAACTCAATGAAATTAGAGGAGTTTAAAATGTTTGTCACAGAAACAAGACTCATTTTCTTAACAGATCCCCTAACCCAAATATGAAAGAAAAAATTAATGGAAACAAGAACCAGATCAGCGCACATTTTTTATTTATTTCAGTTTTATAGCGTTCACATGTGTTCGCTAAAAATTCGAACAAAGCTAAATACACAACTTTCTTATTAGCATTTCTTAAGGTTTTAATTTTTTTTTTTATAAAAAAAAAGGAAAAAGAACAATGAAATAATGGTTAAAGTTGTGAGAGCTAGGAATCAATTTATGAACCTTTTTTTTTTGAAATAGCTTTTACATGACAATAAAAAAGCGAAAAACAATCAGTTAAAAACTTACTTATTTCAGAAATAAATTTAAAATGAGAAAACTAACCTCCCAGAGATGTCAAAATATGTCTTCTCCGACGGAGACCATAGACGACGGAAGCAATGCACAAAATAACTAAGACAGATCCGATAGAGATCAAAATTATTGCTGCTTCACCTATACTTTCTGAACTCCCTAACTGGGAAACCTGGGGTGATTCTTCTATCTGGTTGATCATGGCAGTTTATTTGGCCAGAACTATAAAAAAAATTACACAACACCCCCACACAGTTTACTTCAGCTCGCTGTCTGACACTTGAAAGACAGATGTTTCGGAAAACGATCACAGAGAACTCAAGCTTGCTCTGTCCTTGTAAATGCTCTCATTTTCACAGATCTTTCCGTTACAACACTGCCCTCTATCGGTGATGTCTAAAACTTTTTTCAGTGTAATTCACACACATAAAATATTAATGCAAAGTTACAGATTCGCTGTGTTAGTTATATTCATTGAGTATTTTTGGTATATACAACTAAAATAGGAAATTAGAAGAGGATTAGCGGCTTGCTATTAATAGAAAACTTACTCGCTGTTTCATTTGAACATTTTTCAAAAGGAAGAATCAGAAGATGACGCGTTAAATGTTAGAAAACAAAAGTATAAGCAAAAATAGCTGTAAATAGTTATAGTAAATACAAAATTTATTGAAAATATAAATCTTATGCAATCAAAAGATTTTGTGTACTGAAGTGGCATTATGGATTGCATATTTATTTAAAAAATAATCATTAAATAATCAATCTTAATACTGAGTAAATGAAAGCAAAGCAGTTGTATTTTGAAAGCAAAATGTGACAAATTACCGGATGTTTTGAATAGGAAATGATTGAAATGAAATTAAAGGAAAACATGTGCTAGGGAAACTGATCAATTTTATTATATAATTTTCGTTTTATTCTTTCACAATATTTTTTAATATGAGAATGACGAGGCAAGAGTATATTTGTGAGGAATACCAAAAATACGTTTATCATACACAAGAACAGGGGTCGGCAACTTAGCCACGCGTGCCACATACGGCACGCGGTACAATTCTAGAGGCAGTCTGCATTACTCTACACATTTGTTAATTTTTAAGTGGATGGAAGTTGATAAATTTGTACAGGACCGCGCGAATTTAACAAACATCTTCAGAATTATGGACATTTACGGAATTAAGAAAAATTATGAAAAATGAATCTTAGGATAAATTTACAGTTATTTTGTAAATTATTGTGAATGTCATTGCTGGTGAAATTTAATTGTTTGAAGGGGGAAATTACATTGACTCTTCTTTCCGCTTTTGTTTCTACATATCCAAGTAAAAAAATCTTTCCTCATATGCCAAATTTCTAGTATGCAAAGAAATTGTTTAACTACTGAATGCTCAAAATCGTGTCAAATGGAAAGTAACAAATTATACCACTGATGTTGCAATTTGAAAGAGTAGTGCAAGTACTAGGTTCGCTTTGAAATTTTTAAATTTTTATTTAACTATAATGTAGGTAAATACTTATATTTTATATTGTTTATTTCTTATTTTTTAATAAATGTTTAAAAATACATAATATGTGTACAATTTCATTTTTTATTTTTGTTGTAGAAATAATTATATTTTCTTATGCTGTTTATTTTTATGTTAAGAAATATCTTTAAATGATGCAAAATTAATATATAATATAAAACTGTTATATCTATATTACTGATCTCTTTTCAAAGCTTCGTGAAAACACACACACACTCAAACTGTCGAAAGGAAATTAATTCTTCAAAAACAACAAAGAGTATTCACTAAATTTGTTGAAGATAAAACAGCTGCTGTAAAATTCAACTATATATATGTCACATTTAATCGAGACAGTTACTGAAGAATTTATTAGTGAAAACTCAATTAAAGCGGCGAAAGTATTATGTCCCTTACAAATAAAAAAAAAATAATAAATTTAAAACTGCGAGTCGAAATATTGTAGCTAGCAGAGTTGATAAATATAGCAGGGAATTTTTTTTTGAGATATCTACATAATTCAACAATATCAACAACTCAAGCCTAATGTATTGCAATTGAGGGCCGTGGTAGCCTAGCGATTAAGATCATGAACTCGAGGCCTACTTTGTCGAGCCGTGGGTTCGAGTCCACATGCCATTGAAGACTCGCTGAGGGTACTCGAGATGCAGAGGGACTGATGCATGTTAAATCTGTAGAGGCTCAAAATCCTCCCGTTGGCTTGCTGTGGTAGTTTGGAGAGGGAGTGCAACTGAGATATCACACATCCTCGTCACTTGACCGTAGGTCAAAGTTACGAGGTCTGTCACCAATAGCCCTCGTGTGGCTTTAGAGTGTGATGTTATAACACTCACTCGCTATTACAACTGATGAAAGTCTAAAAATTTGAAATATTACTTAGCCTTCCGTTCTTATTCGCAGATGCGATGTTAATTTATAAATAAGTGAAGAACTCTTGAAAATTTTTTATAAAACAACCACTGTGTGGAGCTGGTATTTTTGATGCAGTTATAGAAATTTTGAAGTATACAGTAGCTCCAAGCCAAACTCGGACAACAAAGAAAATCTATTAAGTAAAAAAAAATTAAATAAAAATGATTAGCAAAATAATTAAATGCATTTTCAATAATATATTTATTGCAGTATTAAAAACAGATAACAAAACATATAAATTATTACATTGTAACCAGAAATTATGGTAAAAAACAAAACAAAACAAAAATTAACGCACAATCCAAACTCGGACGGCTAAGAAGATTTTTAAAACTAGTTAATATTTCAAATGAATTAATATTTTGCATGTAACCCTTTGTTTTTTATAACCATTTTAAGGCGTTTAGGCATAGATTGTACCAATTTTTCACAAAAATTCGGCCGAATATGTCCCATTCTTGCAATAATACTCTTTTCAACTCAGTTTTACTTGAAACAGCGTGTGTTGTGTGTGTGTGATCCCGGACTTTTTGTTAAGATGATCCCACAAATTCTCGATGGGATTTATGTCTGGGCTTTGGGGTGGTGTTTCCATGACGTGAGGACAATTATATAGGAGCCAGGAACGCACTCTATAAGCTTTATGCTTGGGATCATTATCCTGATAAAATCTCCAATTATTGCCAAGCGAAAGTTTTTGCACACATAGTGGTAAATTTGTTTTTAAAATGTCAAGGTATACATTCTGATCCATTTTCCCTTTAATGAAATGTAAAGTTCCTGGGCCAGGAGCTGCAAATGATCAACCAGACCATTTTTGATCCGCCACCATGCTTCACAGTTGGTTTCAAGTTTTGTCTACGCAATTCCTCACATTCGATTTTCTCCAAACATATGGATTGCCATCTGATCCAAATATATTGAATTTGCTCTCGTCAGTGAATACTTGTTTCCAGTAAGAAAATTCCTTGTTTTCATGCTCCTTTGCGAATTCACGTCTTACTTTTTGATTTCGCTTACTTATGAAAAGCTTTTGTCTGGCTTTTCTTCCAGTGAGATTTTTCTTATGGAGCACATTTCTAATTGTTGATGGACTAGCTTTTTTCCCTAATTCATTTTCAGCAATAACAGCTAGCTTTGAAGCGCTAAGGAAGGGATTTATTTTCACTTTTCTCACAAAATGTCGCTCATCTGCTTCGGTAAAATCTTGTTATGGGCTTTTTTAGGCTTATTTTCCACCTGGTTATTGGTTTTGTAGCGTTTTATGATGTCATGAACCGTGGAATGACTTTTTTTGACAATCTTCGATATTTCTCGCACAGACTTTCCATCTTCAGTTTTCTTAATAATCAATTTCCTTAACTCTATGCTCGTTTGGCCCCTTTGCCTTGACATTTTCAATAAATTAAGTTTTTTTCTGCAATAAAAAGAAAAACGTCAAACCCAAATTCCGCTGAACTTCAATGTTTTCATGAAGTTGTCTACAATTTTCACTCAGGGTTGCAATTATTTGGCTCTTTATTGTCAGATGTCCGAGTTTGGCTTGCGCTCTCTTTCGTCCACAATTTTATTTTTATCTCTAAATTTGTCATTATAATGTATGAATTAGCGTTATTTGGTTTGTTTTTAATAGAGAAATAAATTCAATATTAGAAAAAAAAATTTTACTTTTTTTTTAATTCCTTTTAGTCAAAGTATTTTTGCAAAACAAGGTTTTTTTATAGTGTCCGAGTTTGGCTTGGAGCGACTGTAAGTCACCACACTAGAAAAGTTGATTTGTCTGGCCACTGATGTTTTATCTGTTATGATTTGTGTTGATACCTAGTATACTTCTACTGTTGTCGCGCCCTCTCTACAACTCTCATTTAATTTGTCTTATTCATACCGAACAGACGTACAATACCGGTTGTCTGGATGTACGGAAGAGTACTTGTTGTCGTGGGTTTATAACCCTGGGAACATATGAAATACAAGAGAACAGAAAGCATACACACAATACCACAGAAGAATATACACCTTTATTACAGATGATGATCCCAGCATATAACAAGAAGGGGTGCGCTGCTTTTCCTTTCGAGATGGGAATCCATTTCATGCGAAAGACCGACTTCTTTCCCGAAGAAGATACAACTATGTCTTACTTGAGATTCGAACTTGAACCCACTCGGTTATAAGCCGAGGGTCATAGCCACCATACTGGCAGGGCGACACGGAAGTGCTTATTTTCATACTTTTCTTACGAAATATATTGTTGATACTGATTGCTGCATGTTTGGGATAATTTCACTATGTATTAGATTAAAGTTCATTTTTCTCTCAAAATCTGAACATTATCGAAGTTGATTTTAGTGCTAGCACCGCATTTTAATGAACCTTATTTTGTAATAGGAGAATACAGATTTGAAGTTGTTAATGGTTCCAGATATTTAGGCTCTAAACTGAACATACTCAAGGACATAACCCCAGAGGTTCGCGTGAGTGAATATCAACATCGCACTGTTCAGCTACACGAGGGCTTTTGGCGACTGACCTCGTAATTTTGAACCTTGGTCAAAGTGACGAGGCCGACACCTGTGTGAGCTGCATCCACCCTCTCAACTACCACACCATGCCAACGGGAGGATGTTTAAGCCCTCGACAGATTTTCCGTGCACCACGCCCCCACACGGCGGGTCTTTAATGTTAGTGGGCTCGAACTCGTGACAACTTTGACCACTAGGCTACCGCGGCCACCCCACAGGTTCTCAATAGAGTCACTACTGCTAACAGGTGTTTCTATTGATTTCAAAAACATTTAAAATCACATTTCATCAGCAGAAGAACAAAACTACTATTTTGCAAGTCATTGGCAGAAAACGCGGGCAATGACCGAGATAGACAAGAAGACTCTTGCTATAGTTCTAAGAAGTGTTTTTGGAGGTTAGAAATATGATAATGTTTGTAGGGGGAAAAAAACTTATTTAGAAATTTATAAACTTTTTTAAAAAACCAGATATTGTTAAACATAGATTAAAATGGGCAGGACACCTGATAAGAATGGACGACAATTGAGTCACGAAAAAGATCTTTATGGACCGAGCGAGTGAGTGAATATTAAAAGTCGCATTTCGGGCTCAGGGGGCTTTGGCAAGGGGACCGTAATTTGAGCCATGGTCAAGTGACGTGGACGACACCTGACCTGGCACCCCTCTTAACTACCACATCCACCAACGGAGGATGCTAGCTTCGACAGATTTAACTTTATCGCGCCCACACGGGGGCCTTTAGGGTACTGCTCGAACTCGGACAGGCCTGCCATGATCCTATCCCTTTGACCACTGGGCTACCACAGCCCCAAAAATATTTCTCTTCACTTTTCTGAAGATTGTGGACCGAGCATATGTTACTCCAAAAAAAAAAAAGAAACATGACTAGGGGGATCTCTGTATTACCTAGAGAAATATCTGAAAACTATTATTGTCAGAAACTGAAAAAGTCAGGCCAAGAGAATAAGACAGCCTAGAATGAAATTCATAGGAAGAAGAAGGCCCACCCCCGGGGCTGTCGAGCAATTGAAGAAAGGATACCACCGCATTTAGGCGTACATCCCCTTATTTAAAACCGGAATTACTAAAGAAGTAGTTGAAAAAAAAAAGATTAAAAGAAACTTGCAAGTAGCATGGCAATAATTTTTAATATTTTCATTACATTATTCACCGGCAAGTGTATTGTACTCTAATGTTTTAAATATCAGATTTTTTTTTTAAAAAAAAAGTAGTCACCAAAATTGTTAATTATATTTGAGCATATAGACAAGTTAGTAGTCTGGTATGACGGCCGAAATTTCGACGTTTTTTCGTGCATTTTTTTAAACAAGAAAACAAAATGCGATCGTTTTGTAATTTTTACATTTTTTTAGTAGTATTTAAAAGTGTACAAAAAAATTTTTTTTTCTTCTTCTTAATTTTACACTAATTTGTTTATAATTTTTTTTTGTCAAAGTGGAGTTCTCGAAGAAAAGGTGAGCTGTTTTGGGGAAGCACACAGCCTTCCGTAGTCATTTAAACTAAAAAAAATCAAAGCGATTATTGTTTTGTAGACTTTATTATAATGAATAGTCAATAATATGCATATTTTTTTAAAAAAAACCAAAATGGTGGATTTGGGAAAAAAAGTTTCTAAAAATCTAATTTTTTTCGTTCATAAACTGTTTCAAAAAATTTATTTATTTAAAAATGAATATTTTAAAGGTTACGTATTTAGCAATGTGTTTCTAGAATAACATGTCAAATTTTTAGCTAAATCGATTGAATAGATTTGAGTCGGTGCTTCACCGAAATTTCAAAAACATGGTTTCGAGAGAAACGCGTTTAAAGTTTTGACGATATATTTACATTAATCAGCTATGTGCCGGGTGTATATATAGAGCAATCCTTCCGTTTCCTCAAAGTTATCGATTTCAGCGGCTTTGAGGGCCCTGCGTAGGGTTCTGGCATCTACAGTTGGTTTCTGTAGTTTTCTCTGCCCTCAACATTCGTATATTGTCAACAGTGTCAGAGTAGTCCCTGACTGTTTGACTTATTGTGACGACCATCCTGTGGCGTAACATACACCCCCTCAACCTCCGCATTGCGGGGGTCCAAGGACTCAAGGGGGCCCCTAAGTTTCAGTGACGCTAAGTACGTATTTGGATTTGGGGCCCAAAACCTTGAGTTTGCAGGGGGCTAGTATTCTCCATTACGCCACTGCACCCATCACCTCTATAACTTTGAGTATAGGTAGAACCCCCTAATTAAAGATGCAGGCAGCCGTATAGGTAGCAATTTCCAAAACGTTTTTCCCAACAAAAGTATGCTTTGGTGCGAAATATCTTATACAGTGATTGAAACTTTCGCTATTATTTTGGGTGTTCCCCCTCAAACATCTTTTCAACAAATCGTCAGATGCTAAAATCTCGTACACTGGTTTTTTAAGACTTATAAATTGCTCGTCAAATGTTACTGGGTGTTCATAAGTGCTCTCTTGATTTTTTCCGCTTTCAATAGTCGATATTTGCACCAAGAATCTGGGCAGTAAAAGTGCTGAAGGTTTTGTATACTGTACAAAATTCTTATATTTCGTCTTTGTCAATCGAAAAGGTTTGCTATAATACGGATACCTGCGTATCCTAGAATAATAGCGATGGAAGGACAATAAAAAATTATAGTTTAAAAAAAAACTAAAAAACACGCTTTTATAGTGTGTGAATCGAACTAAAAAGTAAAGAAATCATTCTTAATATAAGAATAAAATGATTAGAGAGAAAATTATAATGTTATTGGGGTAAAAGCATGGGGTGCTCTATATTAATTTTGTTATAATTTCTTACTAGTTCTCTTCCAAAATGCCGAGTTAGGGTAAAAATGTAGTACAAAGCACCCACGCTTTTTCCACAATGACATTAATTTTCTCGTTAATCATTTTATTCTTATATTAAGAATGATTTCTTTACTTTTTAGTTCGATTCACTATAAAAGCATGTTTTTTAGTTATATTAAAACTATAATTTATTTTTCATTTTTTAGTTCGATCTACAATAAAAGCCTGTTTTTTTTTTAAACTATCATTTATCCTTTGTTGAATTTATCTTTGAGTTTGTTATTTGGAGCCGGAATTACGTGGCTGCTAGAATTAGTCTTGTTCTTCAATGGATATTAATTAAAGAGTCTGAAGGGTATTTATTCTCTCCGTTTACGGAGCCTCGGATGAGTCCCATATCGTTATATTTCAAAGATTCCGTCTCTGTAGAGACAGTTGCAACTAATAATAGTGTGTTAAGAAGAAATATTAAATGTCAATCGTATCATATCACCTTTTAGACGTATTGCTACAATGTTAATTCGTATCATCACTTCTAAGTATATTGCTTTAACAACATAAAAAAATTTAGCAGTTAGAACATCAATTTATCTCACCTTTTAAACATATTGATATAATGTTAATTCGCGTATCATCACTTCTAAACCTATTGCTTTATAAAAATAAAAAATATTTAGCAGTTAGAACATAAATTATTTTATTCGCATGCACGAGTCTTTTTTTTAAATTTCCATTTTCAGAAAAACTAGACTTATATTATGGTAAGAAAGAACATAAAGAACACTTTTTTTTGTTTTATTTGTATTAACCACACGCCTGTTTGTAGTTTTAGGGCTACACCGTAATCTTTTAGTCGTTAAATCTGAAATTAGTCACCAAATCTGGAAATGACACATGGAATTAGTCGCCAAATCTGAAAATGGTTTATGCAATAAATCGCCAAATCTATAAATCGTATTCCTAATTATCCTAATCAAGATAATGGAACAAAATTATGAAGTTATTGTATTGTCGTCGGTCCTTGACAAGTGTACAAAATTTTGAATTAATCTGACCTTTTAAAGTGAGTAAAAATCGAGTTCAAAGATTCCATTACATACACAAGTGAAACTTATAAAAGCGTGTTAAAAAGATGGAACAGTCAGAGCACACCTGCCGCTGGCGCGTTTCAACACACTTATATACACACTACGGCGCGCTTTCTTCTTTTGGCTATAACTTTGAAAATATTAAAAATTTTGGTCTGAAAATTTTAGGGTATACTTTGAAGATGTTTTTCTTCCCAAGAATGTAAAATAAAAAAAAAAGGAAAATCAATTTTTTGAACCCGTCACACCTGACTACTACCTTAATTTTCCTCAGTTTGTTTCATTTTAGGAAGATTTAAATGCGATTACACGGATCAATCACATTACACGGAAGTTCAGTGACTGTTGAATCATTAATGTTAAAGTGATTCTTCAAGTTGCTGGACGAAAGAGTAATTTCTTTAAAAACAAAGAATTACGAAAGAGCTGAATTAAAAGATGGACAGTGGATAAGGGTCTTGGCTTTCTTAGATAATATTATATAAAAGTCATCTTAATCAAATTAATCTTAAGCCAAAAATCATGTTATTACAACGCTATTTGATAATATTAAAGCTTTAAACAGAAATTATTACGTTGGCGAAAACAAATAGAATTTTTTTTTTCTTTTTTTACTTTGAAAGTTGTCACAATATTTATTGATTAAACCACCTAAATTAAAATTTACTCAATACACTTAATTAAATTGTTAAAAACGTAATTCACACACACAGTCGAAAATTTTCTGATTTTTTTAAAAGCTATAAACTACAATTTTGTATTTTTACTTTACCTCTATCGA